GTCACCGTAAGTGACGTGCTACGTTGCTCACGTTGGGTTTCCCCCCCAACGATCTGGGCCATGCCCCCAACGTGAGCAACGTGGCTGCGTCTGACGCAGCTTCGGGGGGCGGGGTTCCCCCTGGGGCCCGATTCCGCCGTGGCGAAAATCGGGCCTCCAACGTGGGGGTTTCCCCGTCCCCCGGCCCCACTTGGCAGCCCTACCAACTTATGATGACCCTATGAATCGACAACCTCCAAAACATCCTCGCGTTAACAGACTTGCTCAGAACCTGCGAACTGAGGGCCGCGGCTTCCTTGACTGAGTCCGTCCGGCTCTTTTTGTAGCAGGAGCTCCCTTGCCTATTAGGCGACACACCCCCAACCTCCAAGAGCTTACAGAGCTGTTCTTACAGGGGCTACTGTAAGCTCTTGGAGGATTGGCTACATTAGGGGTGTGTCGCCTAATAGGCAAAGGAGCTCCTCCTACAAAAAGAGCCGGTCCATCTCATGTCGGGTCATGCTCTTTTCCCGCTGCCTTCAGCTTTCCCTAGCATGATTGTCTTTGGTGGCTTGATTTGAATCTTGGAGAAACCTTACCCTGAGATTTAAAAAAGGACCTCCCCTCCGTGGCCCTTTTAGAGTCTTAACATTTCAATGGGAAAGAAGGCCGTGACTTGGTGGCTCACCAGGGCATCGGTGGAACTACAATCCCACCGTTGGATCGTCACTGGGTCAAAAGGTTCCCCTCAATTCTTGGCCTTCACCGACATGGCTACACTATGGCTCATTCACGTTCCTTCACCCTTCCTTCTGAGGGAGGCAGAATCCGCCCTGGCCCCAAAAGCCAGAGGATGACTGCCAGGGGGGTGGGCCAGTACGTGGGTTCCTGGTGGCACGCCAGGGCTCTTTTTGTAGCAGGAGCTCCTTTGCATATTAGGCGACACCCCCCCCCCAATGTAGCCAATCCTCCAAGAGCTTACAGAGCTGTTCTTACAGGGGCTACTGTAAGCTCTTGGAGGATTGGCTACATTAGGGGTGTGTCGCCTAATATGCAAAGGAGCTCCTGCTACAAAAAGAGCCCTGCGTGGTGGCAAATCACAGCCAGGCAGGGCTTCCCAAGGATTCCGAAACCTTTCTGAGGTCCTTTCCGCACTAGACCTTAAATCCCGGTTCAACCCCGTCCCTGAATTTGCATTCTACACTACACTCAAGTTCACCCCTGTAATTATCTCGGGGTATTTTTTTGTTTCCACATTACATTGGGGTCATCTCGGTTTCGCCCCACACTTGTCCCGGGATAAATGGATGCTGTTATTTCATGTAGTCGTAATTTATTAATGTAGTTTAATGTATTTATTGTTCTAGCGTTTTAAATGTCGTTAGCTGCCTTGAGCCAGTCCTGTGTCTAGGCGGGATACAAATCAAAATAATAAATAAATAAATAAATAACCAGGGATAAATGCAAAGTATCGTGTCGCAAGTTGAACCCTGATAAAACCAGAGATGAGATCCAAGTGCGGAAAGGACCAGTGTCACCGGAAGCCTTCCTTCCTCACAGAAGGAAGGGTCAGTGACTATAGTGTGGCCCTGGAGAGTTGATAAGTCATGTGTCCTGTCCCTTTTCTCTCTTTTAAAAAAAATAAAAATTAAAGGGCCATGGGCAATGTCCCCTCTAAGCTGTGGAGTCTTGTGAGCAAAAATTCTACTTTGTGAGCTACTGGCCTTGAAGTTGTGAGTGAGCGATTTGGCTACTGCATAAATTAGTTTGCTCTGAAGCCCTCCTTCCTGAGCAGAGACAAAAAGGTGTGAGCCAGAGGCTAAGAAACTGTGCGCTACCTCACACTAACTCAGCTTAGAGGGAACACTGGCCATGGGTGGGAGGAAGAGTCTGAAACCCGAACAGACTCCCAAAGTTCCGAGAGAGAACGTTTTGTTACTCCCGGAGTTCCAGGAGGGATTGTTTTTAATTCGGATATACCCAAGCCAAAAAGGTAAATTTCGGGTATATTTTTGCCTTGGGTGTTCCAGATGCACACCACCACTATGGGGGTTCACTCAGTGCTCAAGTCCCTGTTTTGCACATAGCCGGTTCAGTTCCCCATGTCTCCTTTTAAAGGGTTCCAGGTAGCTGGTGGCTAGAAAGACCATTCTCCACCTGAGAGGCTCTAGAGCGGCTGCAGGGCAGAGGGAGGCATTGGAGATTTCTGACCAGATCTCCTCAGTTTAGCTGCAAAAAAAGAACTGGGGGGGGGGGGGGAAATGGCAGCTAACAGAAGAAGAAAAAAAACAACACCCACGTTGTTTCCACACCATGGAAAATACACAAATTTTTTAGGAAGTGTTAAAAGAAAAACTGTCCATCCAAAACATTGGTAGAGGGTAACTAAATACTTTATTTTATCTATCCTAAGGGGTGAAATTCTTGGATACATTTACATTGCCTGTCAACTCACTGGAAATCTGAGTGGTTCTAATAATTTAAGGTTCTAATATCCCTATTTTATTTTACTTTGGACAACCCAGAAAAGTACTTGAGCACGGGTGTTCCCTATAAATCTGCTGCCTTTAACACTACTGGCGATCCTGCTACCATTTTTAACTCTTGCCTAAACAAAAAGTGCACTTCGTTTATTCGGAGTAGGAGAAAAATAAATCCCAAAACAAAGAATTTTTTTTTAAAAAAACAAACGTTGCGTGTCACATGAAGCATGCCATGAAAATACTGAAATACATGAGAAAATAGGTTACTAGCAAAGACAGCAGGGAGAAAATATAAAAGAACTAAGAAAATCTGATTTGGCCAGTTTCACCCTGTTTGCTGATTTCAGGTTCCACTTAAGAGAGTCAGTTTGGAGTAGTGGTTAAGTGCGCGGACTATTATCTGAGAGAACCGGGTTTGATTCCCCACTCCTCCACATGTTGCCAGCTGGGTGACCATGGGTCAGTCACAAGTTCTCTGAGAGCTATTCTCTCACAAGCAGTTCTCTCAGAGCTCTGTCAGCCCCACCTACCTCACAGGGTGTCTGTTGTGGGGAGAGGAAGGGAAAGGAGACTGTAAGCTGCTCTGAGACTCTGAGTGAAGGGCAGGGTATAAATCCAATCTCCTCCTCCTCCTCCTTTTCTTCTTCTTCTGTGCAGTTCACAGTAAAAATTACTGCATCAGAGCATACAATACAACATATAAAAAAAACCTGGGGGTGGGCGCTTAAAAAAAAGCAGGGCAAATGATCTCATTAAGGTACAACAATATGCATGGCCTGAAGTTCCGCAGAATTGAAAGCTGATCCATTTTTCACAGTCCTCTGGGTCAATATGACCCCACTTTGTGGTTAAGGGTTTTTTTAATGTTTGCTAAAATTAGACACCGGTAGGCTTTAATTAAGTGATATAAGAACATAATGCAGGCTTCAATGATTTCCTTTTCGCCATGAGGGATTTCCTAGATACCTGCCTAATCTTAGGACAACAACCCTATCGGAAAGTAGAACAAGGCAATAAGGGATGCATTGGCTTAATTTATACTTCCTTTGGTGTTGTTGTGCTTTTTTTTAAAGATATGATTTCATCAATCAGACCTCTCCTCCAGGCTTAAGGCTATGCTAAGAGTACAGAGACTGGCTGGTACGCAATGGTAATGGGGGAAAATGCCTTCTTTCACAATAAGAGTTGGATGATTCTATTTAAAATCTAATTTCCAATCAGTGTTTTAGGCTGGTTTCTATACGTAAATCTAAGTTGGTTATGTTGCCAGCTCTGGGTTGGGAAATACCTGGAGATTTGGGGGCAGAACATCTCCAGGTGTCACCTGGAGGCTGGCAACACTAAAGGGGGTAGACAGGGGTTTTTTGGTAGAAAAAGCCCAGCAGGAACTCATTAGCACAATAGGCCACACCCAACAGCAGAAACACATTAGCATATTAGGCCACACCCCTGACAGCACAGCTCATTAGCATATTAGGCCACACACCCCGCATGTTACCAGAAGTGTGCTCATCCAGCCACACCCACCTTTTGTTTCTTATTTCGTTTACCTTGTTTGTTGTCAAAACCCAGGGGTTTTTTTTGTAGCAGGGACTCCTTTGCATGTTAGGCCACACACCCCTAATGTAGCCAATCCTAATGAGTTCCTGCTGTTGGGTGTGGCCTATTATGCTAATGAGTTCCTGCTGGGCCGCGTCCGATCGCATAATTGTGAATAAAACTGCGCCGGGGCAATTAGCCACGCCTCCCCCCCCCTGCGATATCCGGCCAATGTGACTGGGGCCTAAGTTGGTTGTGTTGCCAGCTCTGGGTTGGGAAATACCTGGAGATTTGGGGGCAGAACATCTCCAGGTGTCACCTGGAGGCTGACAATCCTAAAGGTGGTAGATGTCTTCATGTGAGGACTGGACAGGCCCGTGGCCATGATATTGTGGATTGTGGGGCAAATTTTGTTCTGGCAGGGCTGAAGTTCTCAGTGCAGAAAGAAAAGCCATTTGGCCCATAGAAAGCTCTCAATTGCAAGCTGTCAACCATTTTAGATGACAGTTTTCAGCTGCTGCAGGTTCATCACATTTGCCAGCCTAAGCAACGATTCTGAGAACAAGCCAGCAGGTGGAGGTTATGACTTCTATAGTCAAGAAAGCTAACACGTCTTAAGCAGAGAAACTCTCTTAGAGGAGACCAGTTTCTTGACACAGAGTTAGAAGGGATCCAAGAGGTCACCCACTCCAACCCCCCTTGCTCGGTGTGGGAATTAGTCAACTACAGCACACCACTCTGCTTAAAGGAGTGCATGCCTTTAAAAAAATGTTAAACATTGTTGAAAAAAGCATTTACAGGAAAAATTCTTGTGGGGCTGTGCCTTCAAGAAAGGGGGCGGAGCCCCCAAAGGCCCCACCATAGCTACGGGCCTGGGACTGGACCATTTCAACCTTCCCAGAGCAGGAAAGTGGAGGTAAATGACCTCTGGTTAATTATATAATGTCAAATTTTCCTATACTCTGCTTATGTGCACGTAGGATCAAGTCCCCCAAATACCTCCATTCTTGCTTGTTTTACGTCATCAACCTCGTCGTCTTCAAACAAGGACAGGAGTTCCCCGGTCTGATCGATAGAGATAAGGAAGTCTTGAGCAATCTTCTGGCGCTTGTTGATGCTGCTGCCGCCGCCGCCGCCGCCACCAGGTTTGTCTGAAAGAAACGGAAAAGGCAAGCGATCACTGGCGGCATTTTGGTGCAACGGCTAAAAGTGTCGGGAAAAAATTAATTCTCAAGGGCAAATGGACACTGCAGACCAACATATCCATACCTGTAAAGTAAAACAGGAGCGGAGACATTTTAAGACATTAAATGTTATCCCCTGATTCAGTTGCTAACTTGGGGCAATATTGTTTATCTGCCTTGGTGCAGACAGACTATACAAAACAGCAATACTGATCAGCCAGATGCCCAAATCACTACTATTTCCTCGTCAAGACGTTACTCTCTTGGCAATCACTTCATAGCAGAGATTCACGTGAAGCAATATTTTGGCGAATGGGCCCTCCATACCACCCACCACTATATTCTAGCAAGCATTTCTGAATGGGATAGTAGGATGCATAATGAGCCCATTCATAAGAATGGGATCTGGCCCCAAAATTGATTAATCAGTAAACACAGCAGCATGAATCAGTTGTATATACAGAAGGTAGCTTGTCAAATTAGCATGCAAAACAGTGAAAATGTTTTTTTAACAGCCTGTCGTTCTTTTTATCTGTTAAAAAAACATCTTCACTGTTTTGCATGCTAACTCGACAAGCCACCCGGTATATATACAGCTATGATCTGTAATTCCATTTCATTGTCTGACGAAGTGTGCGTGCACGCGAAATCTCGCACTTTGTCGGTCTCAAAGGTGCCACTGGACTCTAACTCTGTTCTGTCTACAGTTCTATCTACAGTGTCACAGTTTTAACCTGCTCTGCTTCCAAGAAGCTCAGGATGTCAAAGGGGGGAAAAAAAACCTTCTAAGACAACTTGGTTGGAGAAAATAAGTCATCCCCTTTTATGCAAACGGAAGATCGAGGGCAGACAAACTGCATCGTTTTAAAGAGTAATGCTACTGGTTCAGCTAGTGAAGATCTGCCCTCGGGATTACAAATCCTGACTCACAAAATGGGAGAAAGAAAGGCGCTTTTAATATATACTGGCTGCTTAAAACTTTAGACACCTCCTGGCCATATATCAGAATTAAGTGACCGTAGATTATAGTCGCTCCATAAAATATGTCAGATTCTTTGATAATAAATTAACAAAATGTCTCTTCAAATGAATTCTGAAGCCAAACACCTCCTCCCCACCCACCCAGCATATGCATAGCCTGTCTCATGTAAATTACACACCCTGAAATCAATTAAGCCTTATAATCAACCCCAGTTCCTTACTTCAACACAGTTCTTGAAGCTAAGCGGCTCTACTTATCACTAGGTTTCCGGACTGACAGGCTCTACTCTATGAGTAATCTGGACGGGAAAGCACAAGGTTATATGGAGTTCCCAACTAAGTCAATATTTTTCAATGTTTAAAGCTATCTGCATGAGGGATATATTTTCCATACGGTCTGTACGGCGGCATATGTCGAATATTCCCCACAGAAAGCCAAATCATTTCAAAAGCTTCTCTACCTTCCAGAAGATCATCCTCTTCAATCCCTTTGACGATTTTAGATTTGTAGTCTCGGAAAAACATATATTTGAGTAGCCTTCTGAGCTTTTTCTAGGAGGGGGAAGGAGAACACAGACATCTATTAGAATCTACTGCCTGCCTGCCTTTAAGAACCACTGCAGGGACGTGAACATATTTTATTAGAATATACATCCACAATTATGAACAGACACTCACAATCACAGACAAGATCCTATTTCAACATTCAAGTCTAGTTGGAGTTAAGAAATTACTACATTAAGGCTGTCAATAAACAGGGAAAAAATCAGACCCCCCACCACACCCCCAGTGCATATATATTTTAATTCTAGGCTTTTAAAAAATACTTTATAAATTTTTCAGCAACAGTAACAAAACAGCTAGGTACAATACAACTTGAGTGTAAGAAAGTAACAATATACCATGTATATTATGGCTGTGTACAAGGTTTCGACATTCAATATATTCCAAAATACATCTCCGAACTTTTCAAAAGTATAACAATTCCTGGTAATATGGGTTATTTGGGACTATACCTCCTTCTGCTAAATAGTTTACAACAGGAAGCCAAACAGCTCTGAACATTTTTGACTGCTTTCTAAATTTATTGTTATGGCATATGCTGTAATTTGACTATGGAGAAAATGTTCCCATAGTTTATTTTGCCAGAAAGGAAGTGTTGGGCTATTTTTGCATCTCCATTTTTGTGCAATTTTGATTCTTGCAATTGCAATGAGTGTCTTCATTAGGCATTGCATACTGTTTCTTCGGCTGAAACTTCCTTTGCTATGTGCTCTAGGTGGAAAGTAGCCAGTAAACCAGTCAGACTGTGCAATGAGGACTTCTTCTGTTTACTGCAGAAACAGGCAGGTGAGTGGATATAGCCGGATACCAAAGAGAATGGTTCGTGTTCTGGGTTAAGCAAACTCCATTCCTCCTTGGAAACTGTGCAATAGCCTTGCGTTGATTGCAGAGTAAGATAATTGCCCCAAAGCACTCGGGTATTGATTTAATTTGGGCTGAGAGCTTTGAACGAAGTCAATCACCTGTGATTTTTACAGCTTAGAAAATACTCTAAATGGCCTTCTCTGTATTTTTTTTTTAACGTCTGCTATTGTAAGTCCCTTCACCGAATGTTTTTACACATGTCAACATTCATGCGGCAAGGCGACACCTGCCAATCAGCTCACATTGATTGTCTGGATGGAGGGACCAGGCACCAGTTTGTCGTAAGTTTGATTCCACCGGGTCCCATATTTACCCACCTGATTGCAACGGAGCACCGGTTTAGGATTCTTCCATTGTTAACTCAAGACTCAATCTAGATGGTTTCTTACAAGAGTTGTATGTGTCAGACCGGACTATGCTGGGCAGCAACTCAACAAGCTTTTTGGGAAACCAAAGTCTGCATTTCCAGGTTGAAATTTAGGATTTCGTATCTTTCATTTTATTGATTTTGATCATTTATACCCCACCTTCCTGCACTCCTCAGGGTCACCAAGGTGGCTAACAGGTGGAAAACATACATAATAAAAACACGGCTTAAACACCAATGGAACCAACAAAAACACATTCAGACAATTAAAACCAAGTTAAAATACGCATGATGCAATTCCGCAGGGCCTGTAAGGCAGAGGTATTCCGCTGGGCTTTTAGTTGAGGGCAGCAATGGGAGGCTGAGACTGGCACCGCCCCTCTCTTTCCATGGCCTCCTCGTACCCTTCCCTGCACTGCCATGCGGAACAGCGTTGTGGCCGACAAAGGAGGAACTCTATTGGCATCCTGGATAGGTTTAATTTACTGTTCTGTTGGTGTTTTTAATTAAGCATTAATAGTATTTTTAAATATTTTACCAGGTTGTAAATCGCCCAGAGCCTGCTTGCAGGGTGGGCGATTCATAAGACTAATAAATAATAATTATAATCATTATAATAATAACATATAACAATAAAATGCATACAAAAAGACAACAATTAAAAACGGGGCAGGAAGGAGGGATCCCTGAGGGAACACCAAATGAAAAAATGCATGTGGGTTATTTATTTAGAATACTTCTATGCTGCCACTTTAGAGTTCTGTTCAAGGCAGTGTAGAATAAGAAGAGAAGGGAAGAGATTGGATTTATACCCCGCCCTTCACTTGGGAGTCTTAGAGCAGCTTACAAACTCCTTTCCTTTCCCCTCCCCACAACAGACACCCCGTGAGGTAGGTGGGGCTGAGAGAGCTCTTGACAGAAACTGCTCTTTTTCAAGAACAGCTCTTATCAGAACTACGGCTTGCCCAAGGTCATCCAGCCAGGTGCAAGTGGAGGAGTGGGGAATCAAACCCGGTTCTCCTAGATTAGAGTCCGCGCACTTAACCACTACACCAAAGTAACAGAACAATTTAGAGTCCAGTGGCACCTTTAAGACCAACAAAAGTCGTAGAAAACAAGCCATTTATTTATTTATTTACCAAACTTCTCCCTTGAGGAACTCAAGGCAGTTAAGAATATATGTTTATGTCCACTGGACATAAATAGGGTTGCCAGGCTACTGGCGGGGGGTGGGAGGAACTTACTGGCAGCAAACCGAGGCCTAGGCCTTAAACCCGTGATGTTTCAACATCACTTTCAGCACACATGGAAGTGATGTCATCATGTCTGGGGCAGGGGGCACCCTCCTCCATTGCGAGGTGTGGTGGGAGCATCGGCGGCGGCAGAGCGACGAGGCAGCGGCTGGGTGAGCCCTGGTGGCCAGCAAAGTGCAACATCGAGCGGTGGAACGGATGACGGCAGAGGCGGAGGCGGAAAGTGCGGTGACGCGGAGGCGCAAGCGCGGCGGAGCCGAAATGGACATTAGCCGGAGCCGCGCTGATGCAAACTGTGCACCAGATGGGCCCGCTGAAGAAAGGAAGACCTATCCCTGGACGCCAGGACAAAAGCACTGATCCCGAAGACCGCAGGAAGAAGTAGGAGCCGAGCCGGAGAACAGCAAACTCCACCACCTGGGTGCCGGTAGGCAGCCCCTGCCCCTGTACCATGTGGCCGTAGATAGGGAAAGTAGACTTAGACTTTGTATGTAAACCGCCCAGAGACCCTTCGGGGTCAGGGCGGTATATAAGCCGAATGTATAAATAAATAAATAAATAAATAAATAAATAAATAAAATGTCAATGGCGACATGGGGATGCTCTGGTATTTGGGCCAAAACTCTATGGCAGAAGCCATTTTTACCATAGAATCATAGAGTTGAAAGGGACCTCCAGGGTCATCTAGTCCAACCCCATGCACAATGCAGGAAATTCACAACTACCTCTCCCTCCACACCCTCATTGACGCCTGCTCCATGCCCAGGAAATGGTAAAAAAAAAAACCTCCAAAATCCTTGGCCAAAGTGGCCTGGAGAAAATTGCTTCCTGACCACAAAGTGGTGATCAACATTTCCCTGGACCTGAAGGGCCACGAGATCTAAGCACTGAGGCAACCCATCCTGACCTCCCTCTCCTGATCTGCCTAAGTTCACAGAGTCAGCATTGCTGTCAGATGGCCATCTAGCTTCTGTTTGAAAACCTTCAAAGAAGGAGAGCCCACCACCTCTCAAAGAAACCTGTTCCACTAGGAACCACACTGTCAGGGAATTCTTCCTAATGTTTCTGAAAACTCTTTTTGGTCCGACCTTCTGGGGCAACAGAAAACAACTCTGCACCATCCTCTATAGGACAGCCCTTCAAGTACTTGAAGATGGTTATCGTATCACCTCTCAGTCATCTCCTCTCCAGGCGAAACATACTGAGCTCCTTCAACCTTCAATCAAACATCAGAGTTTACCCAAAGACCAGAATTTACCCAAACAACAGAGCATCCACGCGTAGCCAGCACACTTCTGGTGTGCATCACATTGCTGGCGACAAAGGCCTAGGCCTCTGTTTGCTGCTGGTAAGTCCCCCCACGAACCAGCAGAACAGTGCCAGGGGGAGGGCCCCCAAAGCGGGGGATCACCTGCCCCAGTTGGGAGGGGCTGGAAACCCTACACATAAACAGCAGAAAACTATCCATAAAACAGACCTCAGACCAGAAGCAGATCATTAATAAAGGTAGTTAAGATAAAGTCCCTAATTTAAACCCTGAGTAAAAAGCTGTGTTTTGGTCTGGTGCCTAAAAGAAAACAAAAGTAGGGGCCCGGTGAGCCTGGAGGGGGAAGGCATTCCAAAGGCAAGGTGCCAACACAGAAAAGGCCCTGTCTCTAGTTGCCACCTGCCTCACCTCCGATACTGGCCCGTAGCTAACGTGGGGCCCACGGGGCCTGGCCCCCTAGTCTTTCTTCTGGGGGCCCTCCTTCCTGGGCTGCCCCCAAAGTGCCCCAACTTGCCACCTGCATTGTGCTTCGATTTAATTAGCTGGTGACCCCCTCCCCCAAAATTCCCTAGCTACGGGGCTGCCTCTGAAGGCAGGGGCACAGAGAGCAGAGCTGGAAAGGCAGATCTTCACTGGCAGTATGGGAGGAGACAGTAATCGTAAATCTGCACCATGATGAATCAGAAGCCAAATTACTAGTTATAACAAAATAATGCTTTTAATAAATACCCTGCTTTTAAAAATTAGGATTACATAACCCACAGGAGTTGAGTCGATTTCATAACCTGCGGAACACAGTGTCCACAATACGCCTTACTGCCGTACCTTATCTTTCCGCATCAAGAAAAGAATATCCTCTGCAGAAATGACTCTGGCTCCTCTCATCTGAGAGACCTCAGAAGCTTGCTGCAACTGTGAACACAAAAAAACGGGGAGATGGTTGGTGTCGGTGTGCCACACTCGGTAGGAATGCGGGTTTCTTTTTAAGCATCAGCCAAAAGTAATTGCAATATAGAAAAGGAACACTTTGGAAGAACATAAAAATTCCAGGAAACGATACCATTCATCGGGAGAATTCTGGAAGATAAGCATTAAAAGATAACCACCAGTAAAACTCCAACCTCTGTCTTCACTCCCCGATTTAGGATTGTCTGTTTCGCTAACCTCATTCTGGCAGCTGCTACTGCAAAAGCAGTTTATCTTTGGGTCTCCCCCTCTTAAAATGATATGCCTTTTAGAAGGAATTGTGGCATGTAAGGCATCTTACAGAATTAGAGACAACAATCTGGCATTCACATCGAGATCGCAAACAATGGGGGGGGGGGAGAGACATCCTACAACCTGCAGTTCACAATTCTGGCACTGCAACTGGGCTAATTTCCCAGTATTTCCCTTCTAGTGGTCTGGTCTGCACTACTTGAAATTTCTGGGTGGGGAAAGCTGCTCTCAGAGCCATATGTTAGATCGCTGGGATATGTTTCAAATTTATGCTGTTCTTCAAATGCCTCAGACCAAGGAGTAGAAGCTGATTCAATAAAGCAGCAGCGCATCTTGGTTTTCTAGTCCTCCTACCATTATTATTATTGTTGTTGTTGTTGTTGTTGTTGTTACATTGTTATGCCGCCTTTCCACCCTATCCAGGTCCCCGAGGTGGCAAATATAAAAAAAGTAAAACATCTGAATAATTAAAAATGATTTTTAAATTATAAAATGATTCAGTAAAAATACCTAAATGCCACCAGAACCAAGAAGGAAGGCCCGTAACCATTACTGAAACAAATGAAACAAAAAGAAGTCTTCACTTGCTGGCAGAAGACAGATTAATCTCCCTGGGAAGGGACTTCCAAAGTTTTGGTGCCGCAACCAAGAAGGCCCTGTCTCAGGTCGCTACCCATCTAGCCTTAGATGATGGGGGCAATCAAAGCAGGGCCTAAACACACAACATTTAAAAATGTGTGCTCTACAGTATCCACCAGTGTGTCAGGGAATGACAGAGAAGTGAAGAGGAAGAAGAAACTGAGGAGGAGGAGAAAGAGGAGGAGACTGGATTTATACCCTGCCCTTCACTACACGAAGAAGTCTGAGGCTGCAGTCACGCGCACCAGTTGAAGCGGAGAGGAAGCGAGACTATTTCCTCCAGAGGAATTTGACACACAGTCGCCACCTCGCTTTGTAGCTGTGGGCACAGCCTGTCAATGCGTGATCAGACACAACTGCGGGTGAGTCATTTTTTGGGGGGGGCCATTTGTTTCCCATGCGTATGAATGAGGAATCGCACCTCCGCACTGAGGACCCCCTATGGAGTATGCGATGATGCACATATTGTGAAGGGGGGGGGAAATGGCACCGTGCTGGGAAGGCCTGATCAGACCATCCCAATGGCATGAGTGCGTGCTTGTCCAATGAGACTGGGGAAAGTCCGTCCGTGGCCCGTCGGAACCCATTTAGTACTGCATTTTCCCCAGTGTCTTTTAACTCTGCTTCTGCGGTGAAGCAGCATGGGTTGCCGACGACTGCGGGAGGCTTCCCAGATGTTGCTGTCTGATCGCTCCCTTTAGATCCGTCAGGCATTCGCACCTATGTTGGATCTAAAGGTCCGTATGATTGCAGCCTCAGAGTGGCTTACAATCTCCTTTCCCTTCCCCTCCCCACAACAGACATCCTGTGAGGTAGGCAGGGCCGAGAGAGCTCTTTCGAGAACTGCCCTTTAGAGAGAACAGCTCTAAAAGAACAGCTCTAAAAGAATTTGTGACTGACCCAAGGTCACACCAGCATCTGCATGTGGAGGAGTGGGGAATCAAACCCAGTTCTCCCAGATTGGAGTCCTTGCTCCCAACCACTACACTAAAACCGTCTGTGCACTTTTCCACTATTCCACTTTTTCTTGAGATACGCCAGTCCATTTACCGACGCTGCTGTCGGAGTTTGATTGTGTTCAGCTGTCGATTGTATGTTGTGGTTTGCTGTACAAGTCACTTTTATCATTTATTAAACCATATCAAATGCATAGCTAGAAAGTGGTGGCAGAAATAAATCAGTACTGGGGTGTCCATGACAGAAGAGGCCATTTAAAAAAAAGAAGAAAAGAATCCAGCTGGGACTTAGGGAGAGATAAGAGTTCATCATCCGAGCTTGGGGGGGGGGGAATTAGAACTGCAAGAGGAGAAAGTGGTTTCCCCAAAAGAAGGCCCCATCAACTGAGGCCTGGAATTTTCAGGCCCTTGGTGACAACCTTGGGAACTCTGGCTGCGGTCACATGGAGCATTAACCATAGGTGGATTTTCCAGGTGCGATCACACCGCCACATCTGGGAAGCGTAGAGCTCCCGTGGCTCACCCGAGGCTTCCCGCCGAAGATCCGGGGCAAAAAACTAGTACCTCCGAGGTACTAGTTTCCGGAAACCACGGGTGACTGACCCAAGGTCACACCAGCAGCTGCATGTGGAGGAGTGGGGAATCAAACCCGGTTCTCCCAGATTGGAGTCCATGCTCCCAACCACTACACCAAATCCGTCTGTGCACTTTTCCACTATTCCACTTTTTCTTGAGATACGCCAGTCCATTCACTGACGCTGCTGTCGGAGTTTGATCGTATTCAGCTGTCGACTGTATGTCGTGGTTTGCCGTACAAGTCACTTTTATCACTTATTAAACCATATCAAATGCATAGCTAGAAAGTGGTGGCAGAAATAAATCAGTACTGGGGTGTCCGTTTTTTTTTAAAAAAAAAGAAGAAGAAGAATCCAGCTGGGACTTAGGGAGAGATAAGAGTTCATCATCTGAGTTTGGGGGGGGGGATTAGTGCTGCAAGAGGAGAAAGTGGTTTCCCCCACAGAAGGCCCCATCAACTGATGTCTGGGATTTTCAGGCCCTTGGTGACAACAAGTGGAACCTCTGTTGGCCTGTCCAGCTCTTAGAGGCAACACACCTCTACTCTCTAATCCATTTTTCAGTTCAGTCTTCGTGTTTCCGCTGTACTCGTACCTGGTAATAGCAGAATATATTTTATCTACATGCAAAAATGTTCTCTGTAAAGCCAGCCTCTACACATACAGTACACATCCTGCCCTTGCATCCTGCTCCCTTTATTAGAAGTCTGCTGAGCTTTGTAAGATCAATAGAGGTCTTGGTCCTGCACAGATTTTCGGATGCACCGGGAAGTGTCAGCGGAGGATGTAACAACAGTCCGTCCTGGGACAGGAAGCTCTGCCTACCCCAAATCCACTGGACTGCAAGAATGGATTCCAGAGTTGGAGAGTCGCAAGAGAGGCACATTTCCACACAGCTTAACACTCTGAAGACATTCACAGGGTGGGCCCAAATATTGCTTTACATTCCTAGCATGGGCTGAGAACTGTTCAGAACTTTTGACTCTGGCTGAACTACCTCCAGGAGCTGCGGTGGCTCAAGTGGTTAAGACGCTGAACTGCAGGCTGTGGAAGGTCGGTAGTTCAGCAGTTCGAGACCCGAGTGTGCCGCATGACGGAGTGAGCTCCCGTCTCTAGTTCCAGCTGCTGCCAACCTAGCAGTTCCAAAGCAAGAAATTGCAAGTAGATAAATAGGTACCACTTCAGTGGGAAGGTAACAGCGTTCCGTGCGCCTTGGTGTTTAGTCATGCCGGCCACATGACCACGGAAACGTCTTCGGACAGCGCTGGCTCTTCGGCTTTGAAACAGAGATGAGCACCGCAACCCTAGAGTCGGATTCGACTGGCTTTCGAGCAAGGGAACCTTTACCTTTACCTTTAAACTACCTCCATCTTTCAAAGATTCGTTACAGACCATTTGAGGTTGCCAACTTCAGCTTGGGAAATTGCTGGGGGGGGTTACTGCTTGGGGAGCCCTATTGATGTCAACACTGGGGCTGGGGAATTCCTAGAGTTTGGGGTGTAGAGCCTGAGAAGGGTGGTGGTTGGGGCCCAGAGTGTTACACTTTGACAAATAGAGCACTAGCTGTAGAGCACGAAGGGTATGCTCCCTGTACTGCCTGGGTCTCCCTGCTCCGAGGACTCTGCCTGCGTATCGTAAATTCTTGACTGTCCCTAAATACAAAATACTTTTCACTAAGGCTAGATTGAATGTTTTACAGTTGGGGGAGTTTTCGGAAGGATTTTTGTGATTGTAAATCAGGGAATCTGGATACTATCTGACACTTCTTTAATTGACTGCAAGAAGCATGAACTCGCTAGAGATAAATGGATCACAGTATATATTCAGAAGTGGAGATGTGTCTCAAAGCAAGAAGCAGTTACAAAGCGCCTGGCCAGTGCAGACCCAAGCGTAACTCTTGCCGATCCGCTGGCCCAGGTCCAGCTGGTGGGGGAACCCTGCCCCCAAAGTGCCTGGACCGGGCAGATGTGCCTGGCACGGTGACAGGGCCAACGTGCTCGCCTGGAGGTGATGTCATCGCGCCAGGCATATCACCGGGGGGGGGGGGGGCCCTGGCATTCAGCCCGAAAACTTTATGGTATTATACAGTTTCTATGATCTAAGTTGATGGACACAGTCTCTATATCACCGAAAAACAGGAAAAACCTGTGACAATATAACGCTAAACAACATTTCATTGAAAAATCATCATAACCATACAAAGTAGAAAAAGTGAACAATTTCCAATAATAGCCACCAGGCTATCACCGGGGGGGGGGGTGCTCTGGCATTCAGCCTGAAAACTTTATGGTATTATACAGTTTCTATGATCTAAGTTGATGGACACAGTCTCTATATCACCGAAAAACAGGAAAAACCTGTGACAATATAACGCTAAACAACATTTCATTGAAAAATCATCATAACCATACAAAGTAGAAAAAGTGAACAAATTCCAATAATAAGTGTACACGGTAGTCTCTGGAATGTCCCGCCGTTTCGACAATAATCTTCTTCTGAACAAAGATGAATAACCTTATCAAAT